GCGACCCTCCAACCATCCTGCGGCGCCAGCGAGCCGCCCTTCTCGGAGGAGCATCTCCAGAGTAAGCGCGGCGGGATGGGGCGGGAGGGGGCGGGGTGGGGTTGTCTCTGCTCAGGAAGAATCTTCAAAGGCCTTGGGCCATCTTTCCATCTCAGCAAATCTTAACTTGGGATTGTGGTTACATTTTGGAATATGTGATCACCTTCAAATAGTTTGATAAAAAACACAACGAACTGGGTAGAAAATGCATAATGAATTAAGGCTATTTCCTCCTCTACTAGCAACTGTTTCTTCAGGATGAGTAAAAATACTTCCAAACAGAAAACGAGCTGGAATGATGTTTCAAGAATTTTGCCTGTATCTTTCTGCAGCTGGGCAGCAAAAGATGTGCTGGATGCGGGACGCTCTGGGCAGCCTGTGAAGACTGGGCAGATAACACATTCTAACAGCCAGTTACTGCTGCACCCCTGCCCGTGAAACTGTAAAGCTCTCCTCTTCACCTTTCAATGCAGTGAAAACAATGACAGCAATGGCAAGGAGGACTCAAAATAAATAGTTTTGGTCTGCAACCAAACCCTCCTGACAGTAACAGCCTATAGACAGCTGTGTTGCTCCCAAACCCTGCCACACTGGCAGGGATCTGCCTTTTCTCAGTCAAATACCTGCTGGTGTTAGCGACTGAAAAGTTCAGTTCTCCTCTGCATCCCTGTGCTCTTGCTGGCTGTGCTTCGGTGTCTATCCTGTCCTTCCCGTAAAATCTCTGGGGATCCTATGAAAAATGCAAAATGGCAGGTTTTACCACAATGGCCCATGGTGTCTATGAACGTTCCACAGTCCTTAAATTCCCCACGTTCCCTCAATTTGTTCAACCTCCTAGAATACCACCTTGATGGAGGCCTCCATATGTATTTTGGCTGTTTTCTGTCTTCCCTTCTTTATCCACTAATTCCTGGCATTCCTTTGCATTTTCGCCCATGCTGGCTCCTCAGCTGTCATTTCTGAGGACTATCCACCATGGCCCCAAGATCGTTTCCTGAGGGCTCTCCTTCTCCCCCCTACCCGAAAACTACTTTGTGTTTATTGATAGAGTGTGTCACCTGCTGCTTTGTCACCCAGAGCTGTTACCACCCCTCTGCTGCTTCTTGCAGCCAGCTTTCAGCCTGGCTACCCAGAACAAGCCTGTGGGTCACCAAACTCCATCATTTCATTACTCATTCCCTTTTCCTGGAGACAGCCTGAAAAGACTCCAGCTCCTGAAAGGATCCTTCTAGCAGATGAACCGTATGGACAGCGGAGAATCCTTCGACATGCTTTCCTTCGGCCAGCGCAAAAGATGGTGCAGCTTTCCACCTCATTGCAGCCAAGATGAGCGGGAAGTCTTTGGTGAAGGGCTCCGTGGAGAACCCTTGGAAGGTCTGCTACGTTTACCAGGCAGCTTTCTACCTGCACAGGCCCCCGCAGAGCGCGCAGTGCCCAGAGCTGCTCTGACAGGCTGGGGTAAAGGCGGGCCTGTCACCGGGGAATCCACCCCGCTCCTCGGCTCGTTCCCCATCCCTCCTCTGCGGGACCCGACTCCAGGCGCCCCGACACCCTGGGCCTGCGAAGGAAAAGGGGAGGGGGTCGGGAATGGCTGGCTTCCTCAAGAGCCCCTCCAGGGAGGCCGAGCAGAGACTCCGGGGACAGCCGGCACGCAGCTCCTGGCAGACGGACCGTCGAGCGAGGTGGGTGCGTTCCTACCCCCACCCCGCGGCCCCGGCACTGCCCGCCCCGCCGGTGCCCGGGGCCGCTGGGCGCCAGGAGGCAGCGCTGAGGCCGGGCCCTGCGGGCCGCCGGCCCGGCCTCC